ATTTGTATCTGCACCATGCATTTCAAGAACTGCAACCACCTTAAAACTGTATTTAATTGCCTATTATCGTTACTCAAATACTTTGAATGTATATCAAGCTAAGGTCTTTTCTTGAGGTTAAAACCATGCATGAGTGAAGATCTGAGACAGGTTTTATTTTCAAATGTGTGAAGAACACAGCTCAATAAGGCTAGAGCACGAACCCTGAAGAAAATAGTGGTCGTATCTTTTATTTGTCCTTAAAGTAAGAGTTTTAGTGGCTAAAACTCAGTCATATTGGTTTCTCTTATTTAGGTCATAAATTTCAGAATGGATACATACATCCCAGACGCAAATATATAATAGTGCATTCAATAAGAAGCCAACCTCAACATGCAGAGTGAGCTTTTCGACTGTTTCATTATATTGTGGCAAAGCTTGCACAATTTTCTGCAAGTCTCGTGTAGACATTTCACCATCTCTGCAATGAACTTAACTTCAACAGAAGAATCTATGGTATAGTTGCATCCCTATACAACTTAAATTTACCAGTAGAGAGATATAAGATGCAATGTAAAGTAAAAGCAATTGTCACCTTTAACCATATGCATGTTTGTAAACCCGAGTTACTAGGGTTTCAGCGTGAGACTTGGGTATAATGTGTCTGACACAGGTATATTTTTTCTTATCTTTTTCATGTATTTAGAGGGTGCTTGATTTTCATATCTCCATATCCATGTCTAAATTTAGGTCGGACAAGATACATCAAGAAAAATGAAGAATAAGAAAACAAAATGATAAACTGCGCTGCATTACACAGAAGTACTTTGTGTCAGGCCATATCACTGAACAAATCCTATTTATGAAGTTTACAAGAGATGTTACTGTCACATAAAAACAAACTTCCTGCCTATTTCCAAGCTTAAGATTAAGAGTAAAAATTTTCATAAGTTTACATGCTATAACTATGTCAGATACATGATTTCTTATAATTTCTCAAAGTTCAGCAGTGAAGCCACTAACCTCTGAATATTTGCAGCTTTGTTCTTTGATTTAAAGGTGGTCATCTTCTCGTGCAAGCGCTCACTAGCCTAACATGATAATTGAGGAAAAGAGCGTTATAGTTATGTTCTTTCCAGATAAAAGAGAATACAAGTGCATGAGACATACATCTGCTATGTGTGCATGACGAAGCTCAAGCCAAACTGGATCATGATCTTCAAGAAGGACCTCTTTTTTCTCAGGTGGGCCACCATGTTTGCCAGGAAGCTAAGGAAACATGGGTTATACAATCAAATTTCGAAACAGAAAAAGGAGGGCAGATAGAAAATCTGAAAATGCAATTTAACGAGACGACTTACCTCTACGACATATTTGTTTCCATCCATTTCAAGTAAATCATGACACATGGCATCATATGTCCATTCATGTATCACTGGAGCAATCTGAGAAATGCAAAGTGGCATATCATTCAACAAAATCAACCTCACATGGCTCAGAAATAGAAAGTGATGCCAAGAATAAGTATTCTTAACCTGATCAACAGATCTATCCAAGATAAGCAATCACATGTTTCGGTCTGAGGGAAGTTAGGAATAGATTTGTAATTTGAAATACATTGCCAAATAGAATCGGCAAGCTTTGAAGGAATTAAACTGCGGGTTGCTTCTGGAGATCCATCTCGTTCCCTGGGAGCACGATATCGAACATATGGAAGCTCCTGAAAAATCCAAACCGAGTTATTAGTTTAATAGTAAGCATATTTATTTCCAGGAAAGTGTTGCTTTCACAAGAAAAATCGCCATAAAATGTGCTTACAAGGCATATAAAGCATAAATTGTTAAAGCTAACAGCACATGCATTCATTAGTGAGTCAGATCATACTTTCACTTTTAATTTAAGTACCATAGTTGCTTACTAATTTCTTATACCATTCTCACCTTCAACGAGGCAAAAACTGTGGCAATTCGAGTTGCCATTACGTTCAACAAAATTTCGAAATTCTTAGACTTCTCTGCATCTTCACTAAAAAGTTCTACCAAGGCTGAATCATGATCAGTGATGAACGCCTGCATTAAAAAGTCTTGGTGGATAAATGTACTTTTCTAATAATTAACCCGACCTTAACTCAATCTAAGACCATAATCCAAACTACTGAGTACTGGAGCTCATTGGCAATTTATATGATCATCACTCTCCTAGACCATTGTTCCCTGTTGCACGCAAAAACATTTGTGATTCCAGTCCTAGAACACAATGGTTATACCTTCGGTAATCAATCATCTGGTGCATTTGAACTATAACTTCAATGGTATCATTTATGGCACATAAGCCATAAAAATTAGCGTTGAATGGTACGTTTTGTGTCCTTCAAATACCCATCATAGATTATTAAGATTCTGCTATAATAGATATAAAGGCATAGAAACATGCAAGTGTAATAAATTCCGTTGCCTTACCTGACTATCTACAGGAAAGTACTCCAAATTCATCTGCATATTATCAAACAAGAAATTAGATGATAAATCAAAAAAGAATAATCTCAGTAAAAAATGTTGAAAGAACTAATATTAAAAGAAATTAGACCTCTCTTAATGCACCTATACGAGGTAACACGCTTGTGTCGGCTTTGATGTGATTAATTAATTCCTTTTGAACAGGTGAACTGAAGAATATAAATGCCCTGGATGAAAAAGGGGATGGAGACCAGAGAAAATTATCAGACAATTTCATTCCAAACTGAAAGAACTAAACCACTAATCAAATAGAACAAAGTTTCTGGGAAAAATCATTCACGTACTTCTTGTATAAAGGCTCCCTTCCAGACATATCAGATAAGAACATGATAATACTGCATGCTACCAAAAGATGGTGTTAAAAATAGGTTCTGAGTTTTGAAATATTGTTACAGCTTTTGCAACCGAGCCGAGAAGAGGTCAAAAGCGAATATCAACATGTTATTAAAAGTAAAACGAAATTCAGTAGGAAAAGATAAAGAAGATTTACTTTTCTCTTGTTGGCTGCATGAAATATATAGCATCCAAGGTAGGCAATGGCTGTCTTCTCCTGAAAATGTCTTCCACCACTGAAATGTAGAAAAATCTATTGTAAGTTCCAAATTGGAAAAAAATAGAATTAAATTTTGCTTCATTATTGTCGTAAATGTTTGAAAAAGACTTACGGGAAACTCCTTGATCTGTGATATCTGCCATTTTACATGAATGAGACATCACTTTGACGGTCACTTTATCCATTATGAGTACCTTCCAAGTCGATTTTCCACCATCAGATGATGAAGCTCCAAGCATTTCGTATAATAGCCCTGCGAAAATACGAATATCGGTCATCAAAATGATAAGCCAAAGTCCTTCAGATACCGATGCTTGAATAGTAAGAGATCACATTTATATGCTAGTGTTAACCTCTGTTATCAGAAACCGCTATCCTCGTAATAATTCTTCGTATTAGTAATAGTAGATACAATAGTAATCAATGAGCATTAGTTCAGATACGGAGAATGCAAATTGATCTCTAAACTTCTAAGTTGAGGTTTCAAAATCTTGAGATTCCAGGGAAACAAACAGAAAATAATTGGGAGACAAAAAAAAAGGAAAACAATTAGTTCAAATGGAGAGGACATACGATCGCGGCTGAACTGACGAAAGACCTTGTATTCCTTTCTACCACCATGCTCGGAATCCGAAAACGACATCACAGATTATGAAATCCGTAGATTTTTTTCAAGCAAAACAAGATGATTTCCAGATCTAAAAAAGAACATAGAATTAAAAGAATCGAAGAGTCGAAGGGGAAAAATAGAAAGAAAATAACGATAAAGAAAAACTGGAGAGAAAATGGAAAGAAAAATATTGCAATTGTACGAGTGAAAGATGGCGCAGTGTGAGAATGGCCGTTAATTTACTGGATTGTCCGTCAGTTTTGGCAATGTTTAAATCTGGGCAGTACATACCATTTTTTGTTGTTGAAAATTAAGTCCATACCATTAGATAAGCGAAAATTCAGACGAAGAATTAACGACGCTCAATCGGATTGTACGATCGATGATATATTCATGACATTTATTTGTTTCTCATTAAGAAATAAACATACGAACAAGTTCATTCTTCAGTAAAACAAGAATCTAACAGAAAACACATTGATTTTCCTGTTATTAAACCAGAGATAAAGATCTTCATGAACTTCACTACGATATACATAATCATATTGTTCATGACCTTACTAGAGAAACCCTTTATACTTGCAGCACTTAATAACTCTATCATACATATCTTCCACCCCATAGTTGAATCTGAAACCCAAATCCACGAGTTTCTTTGATGAGAAACAAGGCATTTTACTACTTTCAGTTTCTGCTAGTGTCCTGAAAAAAGATAAACCAAAAAAACAATTAATCCCCAAGATCAAAAGGGTAATTAAGCTTTAAATTGTTGAGAAAATGCTACGGTAAAACAAAAATTGGTACTCACTCTACTGTTGGAAGTGTGAATTCGGGATGATTATTATAAAGAATTTCTACTATTTTTTGAATAGTTACTGTGTCCGAGGAACAAATATATCTCCCTTTTGCCCCAGGATGCTCGAGGAGAAAGATAAATACTCTTGCTAAATCATCAACGTGCACCATTGACATATTTAGTAGAAAACTAAACTCATCCTTTTTCCCTGAACGGAGTTAAATTGATCTCTGCAATTTTAGTGGAAAAACTAACAGATAACAAATGAAAGGACCGACAACCAAAGAAGGGATGATGGTTACAAGATCCAACCCATGTTCTGCTGCAAATTGAAGAACTGCCTTTTCAATCAAAGTCTTGCAAATTTACAACATCCTCAACTCATTTTTGGAAACTTTTTACTTCATTATCAGTCCATCAAATATATATATATATATATTCAAACAACAAAGTATTGTACTGATATCGGAACTTCACCGAATCATGAAAATTCAACTGAAGATAAATCAAGTCGGACCAAAATGCAATATGAAAACAATCAGTTCACATTGTTTGCAAACGTTTACCACCACGATACATATTGTCAAACTTAGTCATATATGTTTACTCCAACAACCCTTTTTCCTTGCAAGACTGAATGGCTCCCTCATACATATCCTTAACCCCGTATTTAAATTTGAAGCCCAAATCCATGAGTTTCTTTGACGACAAACCAGGCAATTTAGGACCTTTAGCTTCTCCTACAGATCTGCAAAGAATATTAATAAATCCCAAGATTAATAATACAATCTATATGAGTTTAAAGGTCAAATTTTGGTGTTGGGTCCAACTGATTTACTCACTCTGCAATTCTGAATTCTGGATGAGAAGTTGAAAGAATTTCAACTACTTGTTGAATAGTTACAGTGTCGGAGGAACAATTATACCTCCCCTTTGCCTCCGGATGCTCTAGCAAGAAGATAAGTGCCCTCGACAAATCATCAACGTGCACCATTGCAGCATTGATAAGAAAATGATAGTCCCCCTTGTTCCCTGAACAGATACTCGAATATGCGATTGATACGAGTGTCGGATATAAATATTTTATATTAAAAAAACGAAATCGAGATTACTTCAACTTATACCTAGGATGGGAGCCAGTGTTGCGCGCACTGTACCGTGCATCTTTGGACATATGAAGGGACCAAGAACCATAGGAGGAACGACGGTCACCAGATCCAATCCATGTTGTGCTGCAAATTCAGACATTGCTTTCTCCGTCAATGTCTTGGAAACGGCATAAGAGCTTCCGCTTGGATCGAGCGTTTCTCTAATGTAATCTACGTCGGACCAGTAACTCTCGTCCATCATATCCACATCCTTGTTGTGAATGTTATTATATACGGCGGCGATACTAGAAGTGTAAACGATCCTCTTCACTGTTTTCGACCTTATGCATGATTTCAAGATGCCTAGCGATCCACTGATTGCTCTTTGTGTCACGACCGCCTCTGGATCCTTGGCCGGGAAATCCACGGGAGCGGCAACATGGAGAACTCCTTTGCATCCTTTAATTGCCGCGTCGAAACTATCGGGATGGTCGAGATCTGCTGTGAAAATTTTGAGCTTCTCGTCGGCTCCTGGCAGGCTGGTGAGGAAGCTAAGGTCTCTCTTGTTTCCTGCACATAGCGGGGTTTAAAAATAACTCAAAAGGGATTATTGATTAATATAAATTAGATTGATACCAGTAATTATAAAAAAAAAACTATAGTATCAGTTTACCCGGATCAGCTCGAACTGTGGTATGAACAGAGTAACCCTGATGGAGAAGCAGCTTAATGAGCCAGGAGGCAACGTAGCCTGTCCCTCCTGTGACGCAAAGAGTTCCTTTATCTTCCGCCATTAATATCCCTATAATCTATGTATCTCACTTTCAGATAAATGTGTTATATATATATCATGTGCTTGCCCCCAAAGTAGTATTGTTTAGCTTCTATATAGGCACAGCGTGGTTGAGCGACTGATTTCCCACCTGCACTTTAAAGTATGGCTTCTTTCGGCCAGGTTTATGGTAGTCTTTTCAACGGCTGCAGTGTGTTAAAATAGTCTACCACGTTCATTTCTTGGACCTTCGTGCGTATGCAATGACGATTTGATATTATAAAAGAAATTAATATTTAGATTAATTAATTAGTTGAGGGGTTAAATATGCTAGTGATATTCTATTTTATGTGAGTTTAAATTTTGATATTTACTTTGAAGATATAATACTCTCTATTTAATCAAAAATAAATAAATATTTTTATGTAAATAGAGCTATTAGTTTTATTTAAAAGAGAAAATATTTAAAATTGAAATAAAGTTCGTAACTTGAACGTATAATTAAAATATTTTTCTATAACCATTGACATACTAAACTAGTCACCCGAGATCATACAATAACTATATAAAAAATTGTTAAAATATATCCAAAAAAACTTGTAAAAAAAAGACATATATAAACAAATCTGACTTCATCGACAAATGAACCATAAAAGGGGATTAAACTACTAAAAGATCACAGATAAAAAAATCGAACGTTGTGAGAAAACTATCTAGGAACGCAAATCGTGTATCCAAGTTCAATCAAATGTTCCAAAACAGGAAAGATCAACAAAATAACAATTGCATCGTCGTGATCAATCGAACCGACTTCAAATCCAATCCTAACAAAATTTAATAAAAATGGTGAAACAAAAAAAACGTATCATAAAAAAATATGTCATAAAAATATAATTATTAAAAATTAAAATTATAAATATATAATATAATAAAGTAAATAATAAATAATAAATACATACAATCGATAATCAACGCTAATAATGATATCGTTGTTTGTTAAAAAAACAAAAACGACTACTTTTAAAGTGAAGGGAAAAACAGAAAAACGATTAAATGAATAAATATTTCAAAAATTTATATAATATAAACAATTAATATATCACAATTTAAATCAATATTAAATATATTGACTTTATTTGACATCATTATCTGGGCAATTTTGTCTAATATTATCTATTATTTTAATAAAATATAATGTTTTAATATTTGTTATTATATTTAAAAGTTATTATATTTAATATTTATAATAAAAAACAATACTTATAAGATAATAAAAAATAATTTATACTTTATCATCTAAAATTAATTTTTTTTAAACTATAATTTATTTCTCTTAAACGAAATTATTTGGAAGTGTCCGACTGTCCGTAGAGTTGTCAAATTTGACAAGAAAATGAAAGGTTGCAAATTCTAAAACCCATGATTTTGACTGACAAAAGTTATTGCTTTATTGTAGTTCCCATTGGTAGATTTTTATTCTTTTTCGACTATGCCTCCGACCCTTCTAGTTGGCTTGGAATTGTGAAGGTTTTTACCTAAGTTAAATAGAGTTAAATTAAAAATTTTAAGTTATTTAAGTTAACGAGTTTTATTTTATAATTTAAATTTTATTTTATTTTTAAAATTAAATCATATATTTTTATTAAAATTTAATTATAAATATTTATAATTTTTAATACTATTATTTTAATTTAAATGATTTTTTATATGATTTACATATATAAAGCATATATATATGAATCGTAACATGTCACTCATTTGCATATGTTTCAATGCGTTATATATGCCACTTTTGTCTCTGTTGAATTGATGTTTCATTGAAATTAGTCTTTTTCTTCCCAAAAATCATTAATCATTTCTATTATAGTCAAAACTATTTCTATTTCCTACCTTTGTTTAGTACTATTCGAATGTTTAATGATGGGAAAGTGTTATGATTAGACTAGAATTCCTGCTGTTCAAAATATCACCACAAATTTGGGCTCTGTTGAGTTGGTGTTTCCCAAGGCTGTACCATTTACATGGTATGTATGTTATGGGGTTTAGTCGTGTTGTATTGTTGAACGTTGAGAACTTAATTATAGAGGGGGGGTCAAGTTGTCATCACCAATCGAATAGGGTCGATTTTGCTAAATCAAAATAGCGTTATAGAATCTCTTGATAATAATTCAAGAATATTAAAACTATCTCCACTCCAAACAATTGAAACATCTCTGAAACTTGCGTCGAAAACTTTTACGCGGAAATAACTTTGCATCGGGATCTTTCCATTAAGAATATAAAGAATTATCTTTAACATTTGTTAATCATTGAAATAACATCAATCTTTTTATTATATCTTAAAGTTCGACTTAACTCGTTTACAGTTCTAATATCGGTATTTGTTAAAGATGACGAACTGTCCAAAATTAACGTAAACTCCAAATGTTCTAACTTAAAAGTTTTGTTGCTTTCGATTGGCTTGTGGTTGCGGAAGTTTGATACCTGAATTTGAATTTACAATCGAGATACTTTAAATTTGACAATTTTAACATATTTTATGGGGTGTTGAGATATCATATTATTATAAATTAAAATATTTATTTAGTATCTTGGCCGGTGAATCTATAATAAATTTTGTTTTTTTTCGTGGTGAAGCTATAGTAATACTTATACTTAGTAGGTATGTAAATTAGTTGAGTCGAGTTTGAGTATTATCGAGCTCGATTCGATTAAAAAAATTACAACTTTAAAGTTGTTAAGCTCTACTTCAATTTGAAATAAAAATTGAAACTCGATTCGATTCGATTCGAAAACTCAAGAAATTTAAATTTTCAAACTTGACTCAAAATATAAAATTGAAGCTCAACTTGAACTCGAAAAAACTTGAATAGAATTGAGCCCGCTTTCGCTCATCAAGAATTCGAGTCGAGTTCATTTAATTAAAAAATTGACCAAACTTCGATCTCGAATGACTCGTGATTTACCCATCTCATTTACATCCCTAATAGTTAGAATGGTGCAAATTTTGGCTATAACACCCAAAAATCACCCTGACTAACTTTATTTACCTGTCAGACACCCTTTCATCTTTATTTACCGATATAACACCCTTTGCAAGAAGGTCCGGCCCATGCACCGCGTCTTATGCCACGTGGACCATGCACCGTGCCTTGTGTAAAAAATCGGGTGCTAATTTTGTAAATATTTTTAAAATGATGTTGAATATGTAATTAATTTTTGTTATGATGATATTTGTATAATAATGTCAACTTTGCTTATTTATTTTTTTGTGTGATATTATTTTCAACATTTAATAATATTTATTGACTTTTAAAATTAATTATTTAAAAATATTAAAATATTAAAATAAACTTTTAATTACAATTGAGAGATCAAATGAATTATTATTCACTTTTTTAAAAAAATCAATAAAAATGCAATAAAAAGGAATTAAAAGTTAATAAAAATCAATAAAAAAGAATGTATGGCTAAAAAAATATCACTTCTTTATTGAGGGATCATTTTTCTAATATTAATTTTAAAAAATATAAAATAAATAATAAATTCTAATTTTATTAAAAATGAATAAACATTATTAATTGTTGTTAAAAAATAATAATTAATGAATAATAATTCATTTGATCCCTCAATTGTAATTAAAAGTTTATTTTAATATTTTTTATATTTTTAAACAATTAATTTTAAAATTCAATAAAATTTTCAAAAATATATGAAATTTATAATATTTTAAATTATAAAATATTTATTATCATCATCATCATCATCATTTTGTAAAAGAAATATTGGTTATAAAACTTTTATAAAATTATTCATATTTTAAAATACTTACCCTTAAAGTTTTCCTATATTAGATTATACGTATTGTTTAATTTCATGCAAAAATCAAAATAATTTTATTAAAAATAAATAAACATTATTAGCTGTTGTTAAAAATAATAATTAATGAATAATAATTCATTTGATCCCTCAATTGTAATTAAAAGTTTATTTTAATAATTTTTATATTTTTAAACAATTAATTTTAAAAGTCAATAAATTTTTCAAAAATATATGAAATTTATAATTTTTTAAATTATAAAATATTTATTATCATCATAATCATCATTTTGTAAAAGAAATACTAGTTATAAAACTTTTATAAAATTATTCATATTTTAAAATATTTACCCTCAAAGTTTTCCTATACTAAATTATATGTATTGTGTAATTTCATGCAAAAATACAAATTTATCGAGTTATAAAATAATTTTCAAAAGAATATTTAAAGATTTTAATTTAAAAAGTTTTTTTCACACACAAAAAATAAATAAATAAAATTGACATTTTTACACAAATATCACTCTAATATAAATTAATTACATATTAGGTCATTTTAAAAATATTTACAAAACTAACACCCCATTTTTTACACGTTTCACAAGGCACGGTGTATGGGTTGCGTCTTTCCTCACGTGACGTCAGATCAACGTAAGGTGCGGTGCATGAGGTGCGCATTACTACAAAGGATATTAGATTTATAAATAAAAATGAAAGAATATCTAACATGTAAATAAAGTGCGTCAAGGTGATTTTTTTTTTTTGGGTGTTATCTCCACAAATTTTCATTGATTTTAAGCAATAAAAGCATTGCATGGGGAGACGTGCATCATTTAAAATCTTGTAGTGGACATCACAACAAACATGTGAATATTTGGGGAGTGGTTTAAGCGAAAACCAAAGTTTCTGCAACGTGATCAGCATCTAGGAAGGCCACCAAAATTATAAAGAAAGAGCAGGGGCGGCTCACCATCGGTGCAGGGAATGATTCGTAGAACTCGATTATTAAATTTGGATCTTGATTTTCAGACAAAAGTTAAGGTAAATAGTTTCGAGACAATGTGCTGACCATGATTTTAAATTCGTGACTTATAGTTAGGCCGTCACGATATCATTTCTGTTTTGTAGCTCAAATATGATACCAAAGTTAGGTACAACATATAACAGCTGCATTAAATCTATTATCATTTTGTCTTGTTTAGACAAGAAAACCAAAGAACAATATACAGTTAGCAAAGAACAAAACATAGCTTAGTTATATAGTTGGTATCATATCATCTTATTAACAAAAATATTTAGTTCACAAGTTTAAATCTTAAAAAATAATGAATAATAATTAATGGCGGGGCATCTTCCCCATACATCCATGTTTTTAACCCTTTTCAGCAACTGTCGAGGAAATTTCCGGTTCCACTTTAAGACCATTAATGTCAGAGTTTTATCTTTAAGCAATTGACTGAAATTCCCAGCAAGTGCGAGGGGGACAGGACATTATCCTTCATAACTACGGACAAGACAAAAGACAGTCAGAAACACTTGTGGATGATAAGGATGTAAACGTCCGAGCAACAAAGTTTTCATATTGTTTCCATCACTTGTAGGGCCATATGAAATAATGGGTATTTCATTGTATCAGACAACATGCCCATTATGAAGCAGGGACAAGGACAGACACAAAAGTTTATATTCATGATATGAATTAAAAGTTATATTAAAAATTTAAAAGTATAAAATTAAATAATTAGTAAAAAATATGAAAAAGTAAAATTTTTAGAAAGTTGCGATCCCTAGATCGATCCCTGAAATGAAGGACTAACAACTGAACACCTACTCATGCTTAATTTTCAAAGGCTTTTGAGTTTTTGTTCATTTATCGTTTTTAGTTTACAAGTGAGTCGAATTTCTATGACAACGGGGTTTGGTCCGACATATTTTCATTGTCTTTTTTTCTTTTTGAAAAAAGACATTGACAGTTGTCATGCGGGTGCATGTGTTGAATAAGAACCTACCTCAGTTGTTTGCATGCGATGGAAATATTATAATCCAAGAGGGAGGAAGACGGTGTTGGATGGGTGGGGAGGCATTGTTTTTTATTCAGCTTTTTGCTCCTATATATCTCAACTTATTTGAAGTTTTATCTTTTTATCAAGATTCATATGTTTCAATTTTTTATCATAACTACCTTCTGAATCCAATGAACCGAAATTCAAGAGATTCGTTTTTTCACTATATATATATATATTTGGCATTCTCTCTCAAGTATCAACCAAAGGTATAGTTCTATTACCAAACATACTTTCAAGTCCGAAGCAAGAGGAATAAAATCTAAGACAGTAAAGGAAAATGGCTTGTTGTTGGTCTGCTGAGAATGCCACCAAAGCTTATCTCCGAGCCGTCAATATGGTAAGCAAAACCGATCACTTGTATTAATTCTTTTTGCACTTGCCAAATAATTTCTCTTCTGAAGTATATATATTTTGTTGTATTTCGTAGGGAAGAAGAGGCAAAGAGCCCGGCGTAGCTGAGTTCATATCGGCCATTGCGGCCGGAAACAACGCACAGCTCATGGTCATGACATGCGCTAAAATCGTTGGATCCACCGCGCTAGCCCTCGTGGCGGCGGCACGTCAAACCGGCGGCCGAGTGGTGTGCATCTTAAACAGTATTGACCATTTTGAAGCATCCAAATGTGCTCTAAGAAACTATGGAGATTGCATCAGCTTTGTCATTGGGGATGCCAAGAAGCTTCTAAATGATTACAGAAACGCAGATTTTGTGCTTATTGACTGTAACATAACTGATCATAAGACAGTACTGAAGGCAGCACAAGAGGGTGCAAAGCATGGAGGAAGTGCCCTTATTGTAGGGTACAATGCCCTTCGAAGGGGACCTGCAGGTTGCAGCAGTAGTATTGAAGGATTTAGGACCTATTTTCTCCCCATTGGAGAAGGCCTGCTGGTGATTAGAAAAGGGGAGCACAAGAAGGGTGATGATGGAGTTAATCCCAGAAAAAGAAGCCATTGGGTTGTTAAAATAGATAAATGGACGGGTGAGGAACATGTTTTTAGGATCAATTCACCATTTCCCAAAGACATCAACGCTTAAACTCCGAGGTTTTGATTTCTAGAACCCGAGTTTATGTCAATTAGTTTGTACACGAAGTGATTTAATATATCGCACATGTCAAAATTAGTCAATAACATTTATTCAAATGGTCATTTTAGTCTCTTTTTTATAACACTTTATCTTTCAATATTTTAATTTTTGAATATAAGGGTCCATGTTAGATAGACACCGTTAGTTAACTAACGGTCGACACATATCGCTAATGTGATATTTTTAAATATATTAAAGTATTGGCTTTTCACATACTTAGTCACTTAAGTTAATGATACAACATGTGTCAAGTCAATACTAAAAGAATAATAAAAGTAAACATTAAAATTAATTTTGACATTTTGCCTTAATATATTTGAGTTCAAATGTAAGTAATTAGTGTATCCCAGACAACATTAAAGGATCTTTACTCTCTTGGTTAAAAGTACAGAAACTACATTTTGAGCCATTTCAAAAACACCATAATTTAATTTAAATTATGTTTTCAACATAAATTTCTCTCTTTTTTCTCCCCTTAAACTCTTTTATTCTATCGTCATGTCACACAAAATTCTCAGTTTCGGAAGTTTTTTCTTTTTAATCTACATGGTATTAAAGAAAGTTTGATTTGAACTCCATTTCCTTATTTTACCATGCTCTACACACCTCCATCTACCTTTGTTTGAGATTTATTTAAAGAAGTTAAATGTAATATCATGGTGTTTATACATAAAATAAAAAAAATCATAATATTTGATTAAATAGTAATTTTAATTATTTATTTTTTTTAGAGTATTTTGGCATCCAACATTTCATTTTGAGATAAAAAGATCCATCTATGGATTGATACTGTTAGTTAACAAACAATTAACGTTTCAAAATAGGAGTCATTTTACCCTAAAATAAAATGTCGAAAATCAAAATACTCCTAAAAAATAGATAAGGACAAAAATGATTATTTTAATCAAATATTATATGTTTTTTGTCTTAAAATAAAACGTTATGGAAATATTGTCATCTAAAATTTGTCAAAAAAATCATGCTAGCAGCGTTCAATTGAAATATGGAAGCGTTCTTTTTAGCTTAATTTGGAATTTGAAGTTTGGAGTGAATTTTGACAGAGAAATTCAATTGAAATATGGACTTTTTAGCTTAATTTGGAATTTGAAGTCTGGAGTGAATTTTGTATGAGAAATTCAATTATTTAAGGCTATGGCATTGGGCATTTCAGGCTAGCAGCGGGCTGGTTGGCTGGACCTAGCTAAATTTTTTTTAGCGGCTCAGTTTTTTATTCAATTTTCGGATGATTTGAAATTAAAATTTATCTGATTCATATTTAATTTAATTATTTAATTTTTTAAATATTTACTCTGTATTATTTGAAAATTAAAAATTAAATCGAATATTCAAATTTTCGAATCAATGAATCTAATCAGTCGGATCAGTTTTTTTTGCACTCTTATTGATAATTTTAACTATTAGATGTTTTAATTTTTTTTCATATTTTCTAATTATGTCGCTTTTTTTTTTACTCTTTTCACATTTTAATAAATAGAAGTTGTATTGAATTGAATTCATAATTTAATTCCGACCAAACTATCATTTTAACTCTTAAATTCTTCACTAGATCAAGTAATTTTTAATTTATAAGTTAACCCCAGAAGGTGCCAAAGGTTATAAGTCGATTGACACCAACCCTATGAAATTGTCATTAGAGATTTAATTCTCTCCCTGTCAATGCCAACCTCTAAATGCTAAAAAAATGAATGACGTGTAATTTTAATTAAAAGGGAATGATTTTTTTCAAATTTGTTGTAGTTTATACTATTAAAAAATAATATATTTTTATTAACTTGAGTGACTACAACGTAATATCTATTCAAAAGATTTTTTCAATTATTTAACAATGAACACTTAAATAATTTTGTAAACATCGTGCTTAAACTCGAAATCTCTAAAAACAACAATCATTTTTTAAATTATGAGGTCATTTATTCGTACTATACAGTTAAAAAATTAAATGACACATTCAAGATAATCATAATTGTTAGAAAAGTTATGATAAATTGGAAACTTTGAGCCATATTTTTAATGGGTAAAGATTCGAATGATGAATTTATTGATTCATATTCTATTATATGAGAACTTTACAACGGTACCTCATATGTATGGGGATAATTTATATAACACCAACCCACTTACTGGTTATTAATGACTTAAATTGAAATTGTACATTGCACGCAGGCGTAAGAGGGGTGCAAATCAAAGCTTGTTGAACTCATCGGGGTTCGGGATGTACCTGCACAATGTGGGCGACGATAATGTTCGGATAGGTCGGGGCTTGCGGTTATTTTACCCATTATGAATTAATTCCCCCCCCCCCATAAATGTATCATATCTTTTGAATATTCTGAATTAATAGGATATACTATGATTTCCTTAAATTTGAATATTAATATAGTATATCTTGCAGTTCACAAATATATATTCGATTAAATACAATATTAATGGCTTCCTTCTGAATTTATTTGAATACTCATTAATGACCTTAATTTTTAGAATATATTATTTTCAATTATTCTCTGATGTAAAACTCTATAAATATCGTGTAAACCTACTACGTTAAACACAATTCAAAAAAAAATATTTTTTATTTTCTAGTTTTCGGTGATAGTTGAAGGCAATGAGTTCGTGAACTCTGCAAATGTGCAACTATATCTAATCATCTAGTTGTTGTATCTTATGAGCTAGACGACTAACGATCTCAAACGTCATAGGAGTCGTCGAAAATTTATCTTAAGAAAACTTTGTAGTACAAGCCTCAACTTGTTTCCAATTGATTAATATATCAGATATAGTATTTCTTTCTATACCAATCTATATTATTATTTAAGACTTTTAACCACCGTGCACCAATTATTGAACAAAAGGTTGACACTACACGTAAAATAAATTCATCACAACACCAAACCGAGTCAATTCAACTCATAGCCTTAGCAATTTCCCTGAGAATGAATTTTTGTACGTTCCCCGTAGATGTCTTGGGGAGCTCATTTTGGAACACCACCGTCTTGGGCACCATATAATGCGGCAACTTATCCCTACAATACAGTATAATCTCCGTCTCACTCGGTATCCGAGTCAACTCACCATCCTTCTTCAAACTAACAAACGCACACGGCGTTTCACCCCAAAACTTATTAGGCTTAGCCACCACCGCTGCCTCATTAACCGCAGGATGTGAATACAACACCGACCCAATTTCGGGGCTGCTTATATTTTCCCCACCGCTTATAATTATATCCTTGGATCGATCCTTGATTTCCAAATAACCATCTGGGTGAATTACACCGACGTCTCCGGTGTAAAACCACCTATTTTCACGCATGCATTTGGACGTCCCTTCAGTGTCTTTGAGATGCCCTAACATGACAGACCCACCTCGTAAAGCAACCTCGCCAACTGTTGTCCCATCATATTTCACACTTTCCCCCGTCTTGGGATCCAAAACATCGGCTTCTGCTAAAGCGACGGTGTTAACTCCTTGTCTTGACTTTAGCCTGGCTCTTTCTGTTGATGGAAGTTTGTTCCACTCCTTTTTCCACACACATGAGACAACGATTCCTCCTGTTTCGGTTAACCCGTAACCATGACTCACCTCAAAGCCCATTGACTCGGTTCTGGATAGGACTGGTGCTGGTGGGGGTGAACCAGCAGTTAGAATTTGGACAGGGTGGTCCAATGGCTCAAAGTCTCGTGAATTTGATAGCATGTTGAGAACTACAGGTGCACCACACATATGAGTCACCTTATGTTTTCTAATCAAATGGTAAATCAATGGAGGGTCAACTTTTCGGAGGCAAAAATTGGTCCCTCCTACGGCGGCCATTCCCCAAGGGAAACTCCACCCATTAGCATGGAAAATGGGTAAAGTCCATAAGTAAACAGGTTGATTTGGAACCGACCAATCAACCAAAGCATTCATGGTGATTATGAAAGTAGCCCTATGGCTTAAGCTCACACCTTTGGGACAAGATGTTGTGCCTGATGTGTAGTTTAACACCATTGGATCCCACTCACTCTTAGGCCTTACCCACTTGAATTTTGGATCACCATCTTCCAATATCCCCTCGTAATGATCAAGAAAATCAACGGTTGACGATAGGCTTTTGCTTCCTGATGACTCCATCTCATCGTCAATGAGGACCAGTTGTGGGGGCTTTGTGTTCCTCGGAAACAACGAGATTGCCTCAAGAATAAGCGAACTAGACTGGTGATCCACAAAAACAAGCTTGGATTCACTGTGTTGTAAGAGTGTCGACAAAATGTTGGCATCAAGGCGAGTATTGATGTTATTAAAGACAGCTCCGGACATGAGGACAGCAAACTGGAGCTCGTACATGGAAGGGACATTGGGGGCGACAACTGAAACCACTTGACCTCGTTGTACGCCGAGGGATGTCAAAGACGACGCCATCCGGAGACATCGACGGTGGGTTTGCGACCATGTGTAGGAAACATTATTGTAAACGACGGAAGGAGAGTCGCTGTAGGCGACGGCAGCTCTCTCCAGGAAGCCTAAAGTTGTTAAAGGGTTTGAGTTTACAGAATTTGGCAATAGAAGTTCTGTTGATATCAAAAAAACTTTGGGTTTGGTTTATGCGTTGAAAATTGACAATTTAGCGAAGAGCTCTTATATGGAGAAAATTAGGGTAATTTACATTGTAAATTACTAAATTTAATTTTAACATTCATTTAGACCATCTTTAATTTAATTTAATTATATTATTTCATTTTTATTATTAATAAACTAAATCACTTATAATAACAGTGTTAAATAATTCTTACGAAAAAAACTTAAATTAACACTTATATTTAATATATGTTTAACATATGATTATTAAATAATATTTAATTTATAATTTAATAACTATTATTATTTTTTAAATTTATAAAAAAATCAATTAAAAATATCAACGTATTTTTTATTATTATTATTAATATGACATAAGTACATGGTAATATTTGTTCAAAGATGACTTTAACCATTTGATATTAAACGTTTACACCCCTGACATTCCTAATACTTGAACCTGGGACTTCAAGGAATGTTAACAATTCTTTTACCACCGAGATCGTTTGGTTCATGCTTATTGGAATTATTTAACAATATTAATACAAGTGACTTATTTTATTAATAATAAAAGTTAACTAATATAATATAATTAAATTAAAACTTTTATGATGTAGATGAAAATTGGATAGTTTAATTTAATTTAATTTAATTTAATATTTATAATATATATTATCGGAGAAAATTACATTACTTTCTTTGTTATGTAAGGAGGCGGGGTTAGATATTTAATTTATTTTTTAAAATAATAAGGGTTAATTATAATATTAATCATCAAATTATTACTAAATTTTATTTTTTTCATTGATTTTTTATAAAATTATAATTAACATTATATTTTTTTTATTTTGATCACCGACTATTCAAAGTTAACTTCAATGTCAATGTAATTTTTTTACATCTTTTTCTCTCTCCTTATTAACATCCATGATTAAACTAAGTATTAGTTTGGTTAGAAATATAAAAATTATACGACTTGTGGTTAAATATTATTTTTTTTCAGGAGTCAAGTTCAATCCATCCCAATAGTATTTTGATATAATTTTGAGATGGTATCATGGTTTAACTTAAATATAAGTTTAGCGTTTGAATTTGAATTTTAATTTTCTTAATGCAGGTAGCACATTTTTTTTCAAATTTATTCGACCAATAAAACAATGATATGTGTCTTATCACTTTATTAACTTAACTAAAGCTAATTTTTAAAAATAACACATAAATTATTGATGAAAAAAGAGAAAATGACGTTAAAATCTATGTCGACATCGCTACTAATTTTTTAATGATTAATAATCAAATTAGAAGAAAAAACATAATATTATTAATGCATATTTCTTTGGATTTTTCAAAAGTAATATTTATTTGAAGTAAACATTAAATTATAATTAAAATACATAATTAAATACATTAAATTTTTCACTAACTGTCAGTTATTCTAGTGAAATAAAGCATACATCTCTTAATCAAATATCAAAAGTTCAAAGTATGACGTCATGAATGAATAGATAAAATTAGAAGAATAAGAGGATCGTTCCTAATAAACTTTTATAAAATTCAATTCAGATTAATCAACAATAAATTAAATAATGATAATATTACCTAAAATATTTTTTTATTATTGATATCAAATTTGACTATTGACAACTTACATATAGACTACAGACATAACTGTTCGAATTTATAACTTCTAAAGAGAACACTACTCCCTTTTATCACTAAAATTATTCAATGAATTGAACTAATTTCATTTTTATTATACTGAGTGTGGAAACTTTTACATACTTCGAAATTTCATATTATTTGATCCTGTCATTTTACTTTTTTAATAAAAGAGATTATTTTAAGACCTAATCTATGAATTAAACCGTTATTTATTTTAAGTCCTAAATTCTTAATTAAGAGGGAGCAATTTTCTATATACATATTGGGTAAAATCTTAATGTGAAGCCCAGAAAATGCCAAAGGTTATAATCTGGTTGATACCACCCACCCTACGAAATAGAGTGATTCAAGAATAAATGTTTTGCCTACCAATACCCAACTGCTAAATGCTAAAAAAGGGTAGTTGAAATCCTTACGAGAATATCTACGTTTTCATTGTGTAAAGAGAAAAGAGTAATTCAACTGCAGTTTCCCAATACTAAATGAGTCCAGACTTTTGAGCATGATGTATTAGAATATCTAATCGTTTTCAGAGGGAAATCGTATAAAATCCAAACATAATTTCTGTCTTATTCTAATATAAGTTGAAAGTTGTCTCTTGTTCGTTTACATAGTTTTATTATTAGTAGGATGAGGTGATTACAAAAATAATATTTGTTTATAATATTTATTAATCATTTATAAGGTACGCACGCTCTTTGGATACATTTGTTTGAATTCAAGACCTCAAAGAAGAATAACACTTACGTTAATTACAAAGACTGTTTGATGAGTTATATTTATGTAACTTTTAATCCATTGAAACTATTTGGTCATTGTTTTCTCTCTATTTTTAAAATGTTATTTATTAGTCAAAAAATTAATACCGTTAACTAAAGGGACAAAAGCTATCAAGATAAAAGATCAATGTTAGCATGATGATTGATGAGTAAGGGGGTTTAACCGAAATAGTTAACAGATTTTACTAAAGAAGGATAAAAGTAATGATAAAGTATTAGATATAATTTAGAAGGTCTATAATTTGACACGTTTCCTTTCTCCATAGTAAATTGGGGCGTAGGGTTAGTATCCCTCCATAGTTGGGTTACACCGGCTAAAGCCCAAATATACCTTAATCTTATCTTTCACTTTGTCCATGGAGTGTATGAGCAAATATATATATATATATATATATATATATATATATATATAGGGATAAGATCATGTTACACAATGTAAAATTTTAGTTTGATATAGATTTAAGATCGTTAGATGAGTAAAAATAGATGGCTAAGATTAATAGTAGAAAATGAGAAGATACTCACTGGAAAAAAATGAGTTAATTTCAACCATCTATTTTCACTCATCCAATAGTCCTAAATAAGTAAATGTGTGTAGTTTTACATTGTGTAAGTGAATCCTAACCCATATACATGTAAAACTATTTAGTTTTACACAAATTTAGGATCGTTGCATGAGTGAAAATAGATTGTTGAGATTAACAGTAGGAAATGATAAGATTTTCACTGAAAAAAGTAAAGAGTCAATATCAACCATCTATTTTCACTTAGTTTTACATAGATTTAGGACTACTGGATGAGTGAAAATAGATGGCTGAGATTGACTCATTGTTTTTTCCTATGAATATCTTCTCATTTCCTACTATTAATCTTAACAATCTATTTTCACTCATCCAACGATCTTAAATCTGTGTAAAACTAAAAGAGTTTTACATTATGTAACATGATCTTATCCCTAAAGAGCTTATTAGTAGGCTCATCTACCTCACACTCATAAGACTTGACATAACATTTGATGTGCATCACCTAAACCAATTTATGCAGTTGTAAAGTATATCAAGAAAATCCTGGAAAAGGTATATTGTTTGATGTCAAGAACAACTGTGAATTAGTTGCTTATTGTGATTCGGATTGGACATAGGTTAGTTTCAGGCTTTTATGTCAAGCTTAGCAATTCGTTAATTTCATGAAAATCAAAGAAACAACATATTGTGGCAAGGTCTTCTACAGCAGCAGAATATAGGAGAATGGCTGTAGCTTTAGCAGAATTAGTATGGCTTAATGAATTGTTATTGGATCTTGGTATTGATAGAAAACAACCAATTATGTTACACTATGACAGTAAAGTTGCTCTCCAAATAGCAACTAACCCAGTTTACCATGAGAGAACAAAATACATAAAAGTCGACTGTTATTTTATTAGAGAAAAGATTAAAGAATGTTTTATCTTTACAAAGTTCATACCTATCGCAGAACAACTAGTAGATATTTTCACAAAAACTTTGAGTTCATATCAGAATGATTATTTAATATCCAAGTTAGGGGTCAAGGATATTTTTTTCACCCTCCAAGAGAAGTGTTAGAAATTAGAAGTTAATTTTATTGTTATATTTCTAACTAGTTATGTTTTAGAGCTATTAGAATGCATGTGTATATATAGTTTAGTGACTTTACCGTAAACTGTTGAAGTTGAGGAATAAAATGATGAAAATTCTTTATATATATTTTTATTTTAACACCATCAAAACAAATTTATTAAATTTATCATCATTTTTTAAAAATAATTCTATCATTATTCTTTTTTATAACTTAACATATTATTAAATTTATCGCCTAAAGTTATGTATCTTATCAATATGAATAAAAATTATAAGAATAGTATACACCAAAAGAAAGCCGAGTTGATTTAAATTCATACAAAAATACATCGTGATATTCATAGCTATTTACAAAGGATTGCCGTCCGATCTTTTTTCTAGCCTCGAAAAACATGTTTCTCTCCTGATTGTTGATCGATGAGTTCAATCCAACGGCTAGGACTCTTCTTGGATCCCACGGCCCCACTGCTAGCCCCTACATGAGCAATATGTAATCCCTGCCCAACCGGCAAGAATACAGATCTCACGATACGTGTTCCTTTCTCAAGCAATCCATGCCATCTAAACCCAGAAATTCCCCCATGACGTGCGCTCCTGCTCCTGCATGCCAAAACTGCACCTTTGTGACTCAATTTAGCGTACCTCAAAACCCTACCGAAATCCTTCCGATTTAAGTCTACAACCAGGAAATCAACGCCGTGGAGCCCTTCCATCACTCCCTTCGCTTCTCCGACGATCACCGCAGTCGATGAAGACATCGTCCAGGCTTCCTTCATGGCCTCGACGTAGCCCAATCTCGACCGCTCATCCGGGACTACGCAGACGTGTCTTCCGCACGTGTGAAGGGCTGCTACGGCAAGGCCGACGCTGGTTGCTATGGGACCACCGTATGACCATGAATCCACGATCAGCTTCGAGTTCCAGCCGGCGGCCATGGCTGATAGGAACTCCGACACCCCCGGTTCTTTGAAACTTTTTGGACACTGCAAACTCAGAAAACGAAATCGCTGTCAAAACAAAAAAGAATTAGAAGTATAAGTAGAAAAGGGTATGAAAAAACGAAAGGTTGCCACTACCAGTGCTTTAACAGTATCTACATAAGCTTTTGAAGCTATTTCTTGAGACCAAACCATCTGGATCATTATGGCTTGAATTTCCTCTTCAATTTTATTTTTGATCGAGGTGGAGCTATTAGGTTGGGTTTTAAATGGTTGCAGCGTTGAGAAGAAAGGCGAACGTTGACATTGCCTTTGCAAAAAAGAAACAGAGATATTTTTAAAAGGTGTTTAAGCTTTGAGATGATAACCGATAAGCACCCGTACCAATCTTTCCGACACTTAAAAAAAAGTATTAACTTTTCGTCAGAAAGATTACTAGTGATTAATTATAGATGTTATTGACATCAGAATTTTAAACAAAATAACATTGATAGTTATGCAAATATATATTACTAATCATCTTAATTTTCTTCTTGCTTAACAAAAACAAAAAAAAAGAAATGTTCTTTTCAAGCAGACGAGGGTGGACCTTGTACAATCAGTGCGAGTTCGTACTTATCTAATCTAATTTTGTCAACTCTTATACAGCATTACTGTTAATTGTTATATTTTTTAAAAAAATTTATTTTTCCATATATTACGACAATATTAATATTAACTAATTCGGGATTCAGTCAACAAGTATTGTTTAGGTTTGTTTTCAAAGAAAACCACCCATAAAATAAGTATAACAAAGTTTTTGTGTAATTAAAAGCAAGTTACAATTGTTTTTATTGGTCGGTTTCGACAGAAATGTTTATTAGTATGGTAATGAACAATATTAATTTAGGAGACAGAGATAAGGATTTTAATTAAGTAAATGAGCTGGAATATGCTTTGCCCAGCAAAACTATAATCATATTTATTGCTCACAGTGGTTCAAACCAGTGACGGATCCAGAAATTTAAAAATGAGGTTCAAAATTTTAATTTTCTTTTCTTAAAAATAATGAGTATGCAAAAATTATATTTTTTTCCCTTAACACATTAAGCTAAATTAAACTACTTTTCCAAAATAATGAGATGCATTTGGCCCCTATGGGGGCTTAATGCATCCTCCACTGGTTCAAACATTTTTAAAGAGAGAAAAAAACTCCCTATTAATTGAAGTCTTCCTCTTCCTGCAACCCTTTGTCCATTGTATAGGTACGCACAGAAACTTCAACTGTGTATACTTTTTTTTTGTATATATATATATATATATATCCTAGCTTCTCAATTGATTTAGAGATCCAAATTTAAATATTACTCAGATTAAATTTTGAGATCCGGGAAATTCTTTAAAATTAAAAGTTCAAATCCATCAAGAGTACGAATCAAGTGACCTTAATAATTAAGGGATAATTGTTTATCTTTCTGGAAAGTACCTATAACAGAAGGATCAGCAGCCATTGCATATTTGTGGTAAATAATCTAATTTCGGGAAAAATCTAAATAAAATTTTTAATTTTATTAAAAAAATAAAGCATCAATTATGAAATAATTCAATCTAAATTATTTATAAATGTTTAATTTAACAATGATAATTTTTTTTAAAATTTATTAATAAATCGTAATGATTTTAATAATAACAATAATAGTAATTTTTTTAAGTTATTTTGATTTTTTATTTCAATTTTAAGAATAAAACTAATTTTATTTATTATATTTTTAACGATTTAATAAATATTTATATATAAAAATTGAACCAACCGGATATATGCTTTTACTCGTGTTTAATCATTGTTACCATTAAAATAGTGTATGTTGAAGGTTGATATTATCATTTATAGATACGAGTCATAAGAGCTCTTATAGTACAACTTAATCGGCTGAAATCTATGTACTACACAAACACATGCATGTAAAAAGCCTTAAACAAAATCTATTGCATGATCTCAATTATAAAAAAAAGAGAGAATATTTTTATAGATTCATATTCGAGTAATTACGTTGGTAAATATATATGTGTTGATAATAATAAATTAAATATTTTAAATATATATTATTTTATAATCACCCCGTACTATTAAAATAATTAAATATATCAACATTTTATTTAAATTATTTTATTGATTGACGAGTAGGATATTATAACTATAAGCTTCTAAATCTAAAAAACGAATCTAAGCATGATCATCATAATTATTATTGTACACAAATTGATATACTATACTTTTGTAGGGGACAAGTTGGCGGTATTATAGATTGATACAATATGTCATGACAAGGACGTTCCTAGGTCAGTACTTGCGGTATAACTCCATTTTTCTTCATCAAATTTAATAAAACCCGTTTTGGGCTGACTAACGTATCATGTTGATTGTTGACGAAGCATATATATTTATGTAATTTTAAATAATACAAAGGTTGGTTTACCAGATGGTATCATATGCTTGGAAACTGAAGCAGACATTTCAAGCTTAGGGTGTGTTTAATATATTATTTTAAAAAAATTACTTTCATTCTTCCATTTTATTAAGATTTAAATGATCAGCTTTCAATTTTTTAATGGTAACAATAAAAAAAAGTTTAAAAGAAAAGTGTTGAATAAAATAAGTGGATAATTACTCTTCACTTACGGTTGAAAATATCAAGTTAATTTTATTATTCACAAGTTTATATTTAGAATAAATTATAATTTTATTTTAAAAATGAAATATTCAAATTAATTTATTACCAACGGGAGTCTGATTTTAAAAAGTGATAATCAGTGTGATTAAAAAATCGAGTTCTATTACCACCAGTGGTTGGTTCAAGTGATAAACAATTTGATATCACTTGAAAAAGACCTAGAGTTTAAGTCATTGTGGATGTAGAAAATTTCTGCTGAAAATCTCATTTATTAAAACCAGATATACGACATAGGTCGATCCTAATTAGTTAAGACAAAATTTTGGAAAGACAATAAAACACAGAAAAAGACAAATTCTATTTGTCACAAATTTTACACCATGCTCTCAAACCTTTTTAGAATAATAAATGTATAATGTAGATCACCTTCAAATTATTCAGTACCGTACTGCCATTTTTTTTTGTCAAACCACAGTTTTAGTGTTTTATTATACTTAATTTTACATTTTAGTTCTTACACTTTAATTTTATATATTTAACTTTTGATATCATTTGGTTAATACTGTTGGCTATTCTTATTAAAATACTTACGTGGATTTTAAAAAATAAAACTATCGAGATAAAAATACATGCCAATGTAACGAGTTAGGATGGCTATTTTCAAGGTATAATTTCATGTTAGGCTGGTTATTTTATGGAGTAAAAAATATTTTGAGTTATTCATTTTGATGAGTATTATTTTATAGCTTAAATTTTATTTAAATTTTTTTAAGTCAAATCGAGTTGTTTGAGCTTCGTTTTAAATTTAATTGTAAATATTTATAATGTTATGATACTATTTGATTTAAATTTAAACGGTTTTATATAATCATTATGTTAATTACTAAAATTTTTTGAAATACTAGAGTTCAATTTTATAACTCGACTTAAATTTGAAATTTTATTCAAGTCGAGTTTATAAAATTACAAGTCTAGTTAAATTTTTTAACATCAAATCGAGTCAAAAAATTCAAAAAACAATTTAGTAGAGTTTCGCCCACCCTCTAATTACAATATTTACAAAATTCAAATGGGCTTGGTGGGTTAGAATTAGTAAGTTGATGGCTTGGGTAAATCTGATTTCAATATACCCATGGAGATCAATCCCTGGTCCGGGAAGGGTTTCCAGCTGTAATTTCTCATCACCATTTTATGATTGTCCAATCACAATACGACTGTGCAAAGGGCCTGCCGTAATTTGCAGAAAACAGCATGAGTCTTAACATTATGTAGTGGGGGTGGCTTTGTTATCATTCTTTCGACTCATTACCTGTCCTTAAGCTAGTTGGCCATTTCTGCTGCCTCTCATTGTCCTCTTTGGGTCATTTTCCACGATTTCACGTGCTGGGGAATGAGAGTAAAATTGAAAAATATTCCACCATTTGTCTTACTTGCCAAATTGTGCATACCGAAAAAAAGAAAGCAGCCCCCAGAACTGTCTTATCCCTTAAATTCTACATCCTTTAACCTATTTGTAAGCTTTTTCTCACCTCTAACTATAGAAGCAAAGAACTGAGAAAACCACTAAAAAAAAGTCAGCATTGTTGCATTTTAACTAATTCTTTTGACATCCAATTACAACCGAAATGATGCAATACATGAAAAAACTTTGATACATTTAGAGAGTTCAAGTCCTTAGTAAAGCACATTGCTGTCAGTCTAGATTTATGAAAGTGCAGCTTCAGTTATGGCATTAACCAGAGGTTAGTAATAGCCGAATCGAGGCAATAACCCTTGAGAATTTTCATGAACTGCTCATTAATCCACCTAATTCTTGTATCACATTGTCTATGGATGGCCTGTGGTAAGGAGATTCGTGGGTGCAAAGCAATGCGATCCTGCCGAGTTTTGTTGCCTCGGAATCTGAGTACTTTCCGTCAAGATTCATGTCAATGAGATCTTCGACTCTGCATGTCTCGGCAGCATGCCGGATCAGTTGGGTGATTTTTTGCTTTCCGCTAAGTATCTGAAATACAATCATACCAAATGCATAAACATCACTCTTTTCGGTGAAACGGCCTGTTGTAGTGTACTCCGGAGCAAGGTATCCCATTGCAGCACTGGCCTTGAGAGTGGAGAAGACAATGTCATCTGCGAGGAGTTTGTGCAGACCAGAATCCGAGAGTAAGGGATTAGATTGGTTGTCTATAAGTACCGTCTCTGCAGAAATATTCTGGTGAACGAGAGCGAGTTTGCTTCCTTTGCTTTCATGCAGATACCTGATACCTGTTTAAGAACATCAGAATCCCAGACTCAGAATAAAAATTCATTATCCCCCCATTATCAAGTTCACTTAAATTGAATATCACATAAAAAATATCAAATGTTTAAGATAACTGACCTTTAGCGACGCCATAAATGATCGAAATCCTTGTCGACCATTCGATAACCTTTCCACAGCCCTGCTTTACATCAAGATACTGCAACAGATTTCCACTGTGGACATAATCATAGACGAGAAAGCACTCCCCTCTGCCCTTTGAACAACAAAAGCCTCTAAATCTCACTAGATTTTCGTGTTTCAACGAAGTCAATATCTTAAGACCTTGTAGAAACTCAGATTCATCAGACTTGCAACTTGTTTTGGCTATGCATTTTACTACAACTGCAGAACTATCTCTCAAGGAACCCTTATATATGGCTGAGAAATTACTCT